CTCCCCGCGCCCGCCTCCCGCAGCGCCGATGCGGGTACGTGACACACTCACACGCACTTCCCGCTCCCCTCCCCGCGCCCGCCTCCCGCAGCGCCGACGCGGGTACGTGACGCACCCACACGCACTCCCCGCTCCCCTCCCCGCGCCCACCTCCCGCAGCGCCGACGCGGGTACGTGACGCACTCCCCGCTCCCCTCCCCGCGCCCGCCTCCCGCAGCGCCGACGCGGGTACGTGACGCACTCACACGCACTTCCCGCTCCCCTCCCCGCGCCCGCCTCCCGCAGCGCCGACGCGGGTACGTGACGCACTCACACGCACTTCCCGCTCCCCTCCCCGCGCCCGCCTCCCGCAGCGCCGACGCGGGTACGTGACGCACTCACACGCACACGTTCACTTTGTCCAGTCTCGTCCGTACTCGTCCAAATAAATCGTCCGCATTTCCATTATAATGTCGTATATAAACTATTGTAATAAAAAAATAACGTTTCGAACTTTGTTGCCGGCAGAAGAACAGACCGCGAAGTGCGAGTCCAGCTGCTCCGACCCGTTCCACCGCAGCGAGTCCGCCGACCCCGCGGGCCCCTCGCCCGACGACTTCGACCTCCAGCCGGACGTGAGCACCCGCCTCCAACTATACGATACTAACATAGAACTATGACGGAACCGTTCTCATTGCAAATGTCACAAATTAGTTGAAACATTCTGCATATACATAGTTTTATCATTACACTTGCGATTGCTATATGGCATACCCTTACATAACTTGTGGTAGCCGTCGTAATTTGACCTGGACGCCGTGAGGACTTCGGAGTCGTCCTCAAAGAGTGTCAGGCAGCGGGCCGGCAGAGCCCCTAACGTCCATGGGTCACGGTGATCGCTTAATATCAAATATTGTAAGATATTTTTTTAAATGTGCCCTGAAAAATATCACGCATAAACTAAGTACTAGAAACTAGAACTCTTAAAAATATATTTGCTTGTGTCCGCGCGCCCGCAGGTGGCGGACTCGGGCTCGGAGTGCGGGTGCGTCGGACGGGCCGCCTTGCGCCTCTACGTGGTGCAGCCCAAGGGCCTGCAGGAAGGGCGGCTGGCCTTCGCACTGCCCGCAGGTACTCCACCGCACGCCCAGAGACAGGAGTTGGGGATGCAGCTGTCGACGTCTCCAAGCAATGATATTGAAGAGCAGGTTGCGTCCGCAGGCGGCGCGCCCGAGGAGCAGGGCGGCGAGGCCGGGCCGGCGGCCGTGCCCTCCAGCATCCTGCAGCAGCAGAGCCAGCAACTCAAGAACCTGCTCATGAGGTCACAGGTACACAACGAACAGACAGATGTAATTATCGCACTTTGCTTTTTATATTATTATTATAATTCTTTTCTTTCCTTTTACTATCTGGTGGCGGTTCACATAGGGACGAGCTTGTCTAGTTTCTACCTAAACCGTGTCTGCACACGTAGATTACTTGTATACAGTTATTGCACTATGTATATTTATCTGTGGCTCAGTAATTATTTTTAATATGTAGTTTTTTGTTGACATGACAGTGTTCATAAATCATAGACAATTCACAATAAGACGGCAGCGCCGCGTGCGCTCCCACACCGCAACTAAAACAACTTGATGAGATCAATTTTTTTGGTGGTAGGACCTCTTGTGAGTCCGCGCGGGTGGGTACCACCACCTCGCCTATTTTTGCCGTGAAGCAGTAATGCGTTTCGGTTTGAAGGGTGGGGCAGGCGTTGTAACTATACTTGAGACCTTAAAACTTATATCTCAAGGTGGCGCATTTACGTCGTAAATGTCTATGGGCTCCAGTAACCACTTAACACCAGGTGGGCTGTGAGCTCGTCCACCCATCTAGCAATAAAAAAATAAATAAAAAATTTTTTACTGTTAATTATCGAATAGTCTTAAGAGATTATTTATTAACTCCGCATTGAAGTTACCCAACGAGTCACGAGTCTGCGTCACTACTCGCACACCTATCTACGAGGTTTTGTTGACACTTTAACTCTAGTGCGAATTTAAAAGAGAAGAGAGAGATCTAAAAATATTTGAAAATAGATATGTGTCACCGTCACCATCAGCCCAATCATTCACACTGTTAGGTCAATCGCTACTGCGCTCAGCGATGCACTCGGTACTCGTGATTTGTAAGTTGCAGTCTCACACCGGTGGTGGGGCGCGCCCCCTCCACTTCTGCCGCGGAGTGAGTGCGCGGTCCGGGCGGAGGGGGCGCGGTCGAGCTAATGACATGATGTTAAGTGCATATCGCCGCTCACTTACAGACGCGAGACCCACCCACCTAGTAATAAAAAAATAGACATACATATTTGTATGTATTTCTTAGGATATAATGTCAGTATTCACAATAATATACTTATTTGCTTGTCCCCAATATTTGTTGTTGTAGACGCAGCCCGGGAGCCTCATCGGTCAGAGGGCGGAGTCTCCGCCAATCCCTCCGCAGCTCAACCTCATGACGCCCGACGCGTTCAGGTAACCGCACGGCACCGCCCCGCCCTGCCGTGTTTTGGAAGGGACAAAGAATCTCTTGCTCTTTTGTATTGCCCTTGCAGGCAGGCGAGCATGTGGCCCGTCTGATAATGAGTGATTACCGTCGCTAATGGACATGAGCAATGCCAGTGGCAGAGCCAAGTCGTTTCCTGCCGCCAAGGACTTCGCAAACTTCGTTTGAAGAAGGACATGCGCTCGAGAAATGCCGCGAGGGGAGTTAATTTCAAAACCAGATGGCGTAAAAAGAGTCCTCAGTGCTCGGCAGAGGCACGGTGGGGCTACTACGGAGATCCGTCGACCTGATGAGGCAATAAGGGAGTTAACGTTCCTCAGCTCGCCGGGCAAGAGGGAGGAAGAGGATCCGCCGCTGTCGGCCACGCCTGACGTCAGCGCCAAGCCGCGCGGCTCCGTCGGAGGGGACGCCGACCGCGCCAAGGGTACGTCCGCTCACTCAGAACGCCGGGAGGGTTCGGGAGAGGCTCCTGCTGGTGCCGCCCGGACCCGGCTCGCTTTGTGCTTGTGCTGATGTTGTGTGACTGTGACGCAGGAGCCGAGGGCGCGGGCAAGCCCACCTCGGGGGGGTCCAGTCCCAGCCGGGAGGTGCAGGAGATCATGGCGCACAATGACGACGCCTTCTTCGCCGACAACCTGGTTAGTGTCGGCTTCTGTTCTCTTGTATAGGCATGGCTTGTGAACGTCGCAGATTTGACGTGATGAGCTGTGTTTCTGTGGCACCCATTTTCACCAGTCACCACCAATAACCAGCCGCGAACGTTTGTCCCAGGAGGAGGAGTCGCCGGCGCCGCCCGCCGCCGCCCGCCAGCCGGAGCCCTTCCCGGACAAGCCGCCGCCGCCGCCGCTCGCGCTCCCGCACTCCAGTACGTCTCCGCGCCCCCGGGCAGTGTAGTGTGGGAGACGCCGACGTCACCAGTTGTTCCGTTACAGACGGCGACACCTCGTGGCCGCAGATATCCATAGCGCAGATAACGGAAGCGAACCAACGCAAGGCGTCCAGCGACAAGTCGGGCGCGCAGAGCCAGCCGCTCGGCGCCGCGTGCGACGCGCGACTCGACCTGCTCGAGCACAAACTGGACAAAATCACAGGTGCGTTTGATTGCACAGATCCTATTTGGAGTCTCTAGACCTTCTGCAGGTACAGATGTGTTTAATTTCAAATGTTTGTCGGGCCCCAACTTATCCTGATCCTTAAGTAAAAAACGTGTCATGATGTTTGGTTGTAGAGTTGCTGCAGCAGCAGGGTCGCGAGCTGCGGGCCCTGCGCGGCGCCACGTGGTGTCCGCGGACCGCACTGGACGAAGCGCTGCAGGCACACGCACAGGCCTTAGATAATGCTGTCACACTAGGGTGTGTATAATTAATTTATGAAAAATAAATTTTACCATTCCTAAAAAGATGTATATATATTTTATGTATGTATATTCGGAAAATATTTATTGTAATCACGTTACGTGTCGTGGACGAGCTCTGCCCGGCGGCGTGCTGTCGCCATCACGTCATGACAAAACTAGTTCCGTGTCCGGTCGGCACTGCGCATCGACACGGATGGAATATGTATCGGAATCAAATTTAATGTGGGATCTATATAAAATGTATCCGTGTGTAAGTGTATATGTGGGAGCAATCCACGCTACTAACATTGAGTCATTGTTGGTGCGGCAGGTGGGAGCGCATGTCGGCGGCGGGCGAGGCTGCGGGCGCGGCGGCGGGCGCGGGCGCGGCGCAGGCGGCGGGCGCGGGGGCGGCGCGCGCGCTGGAGCCGCTGGTGGCCGCGCTGCAGCACGAGCTCGCCGCCAAGCTCACCGCCACCGACCAGCTGCTCAGGGACAACATCGACAAACTAGTCAACAGCAAGGTTTGTCACCTGTCGATAAGTCGAAGAGCAACACTTCGACGAACCTGTTAGCACGGCCAAGTGACTAGCGATACAACTGTATACTCATTACAAATAAATCTCCTTTTTGTGGCCCAGACCCATAGATAGACCCATAGACATCTACAACGTAAATGCCGCCACCCACCTTGAGATATGAGTTCTAAGGTCTCAAGTATAGTTACAACGGCTGCCCCAACCTTCAAACCGAAACGCATTACTGCTTCACGGCAGAAATTGGCAGGGTGGTGATACCTACCTATGTAAAGTCACAAGACGTCCTACCACCATTTAAAAATGAAACAACGCCCACGCCACTCGAGCACTTCATAAATATACGACAGGTGTGACGGCGTTTGAAAGACCCCTCTGGGCTTTATTGGTTGGGCAAATTGTCCGAGTCTTGGTCCCCGCGGTACAGAGCTGAGGGCGGTGTGTACAGGCGGTGTCGGAGCGGCTGAGCTCGTCCATAGCGCGCTGCGTGTCGGAGCAGGTCCGCGAGTCCTTCCGCGCGTCGGTGACGGACAGCCTGCTGCCCGCCATGGAGCGCGCGCACGCACAGATCTTCCGACAAGTCAACAACGCCTTCCAGAACGGGACTAAAGAGTGTAAGAAATCCGATAAAAATGTTGTTAGTGTTCAGTAACAAAATATAAAAATGCCGACTCGATAAAGATCGTTTTTTCGATCGATCTTTAGTAGGGTTGGAAATCGGAGATTGCAAATCGATATTGTAGCATTAAATCGATATAGCATTGACATTCCACTTACTCAATGTCAAGTGTATAATAAATACGAATTTTTTAGAAGATGACACATTTTTTTTTAATAATCATACATGCATCAAGCATTTGGGAAACTGTACATTCTCTTAGTTTTTTAATGTAAAAAATTAATTTAAGAAATGAATATCTTTTATACCTTGCACTTTGGCTTTAAAAAAAAGTAATAACTGTATTCCATTTTTAACTATTTAAAATCAGTTATTAAGGTGTTCCATTCTTTTTCTTAAAGTGCATTTATATTATAATTCCAAACTGGATTGAAATTAGATTTTTGTCTTTTGTCTGAATCCAGTCATCATTTTGCGATCAGAATTATTTTAAAATCTATCTTTTTCAATAATTATCGTCACCCCTTCGGTAGTCAGTGCAATGAACTAACTATACGGTTGCTGATGCAAGTGTAAAAGGTGTAATCTGCCCTTTATTAATAAAACGAGTTAGTTCCAATTTTACTCTGTATATTGTTACAAGCGTCTGACGTGTCGGGTGGGCTATGTACGACTGACTAATGCAAGCGATGTACAAAACTGCATGCGCTACTAAACTGTGTCCCTACATGAATTAAGATTATAATCTTCCCGTCATAATTCCTCACCCAGTCGCAGCTCACACGGAGGCCGCAGCCCGCGCGGCGGCGGAGCGCGGCGGGGCGGCGGCCTGCACCGCGCTGCGGGCCGCGCTGGACCGGCACGCCGACACGCTGGCGCAGCACCCGCGCCTGCTGCTGCAGCACGCCACGCAGGCCGTCCGAGATGCGGCGCACAGGTACCGACAATGTCAACAACGCGAATCCATATAAAAGCAACATGTCCTTCTGCAAAAGAGGCTTGTGGAGAGTATTAAGCGGTAGGCAGCGGCTTGGCTCTGCCCCAGGCATTGCTGAAGTCCATGAGCGACGGTAACCACTCACCATCAGATGGGCCGTATGGCTCGTCTGCCTACAAGGGCAATAAAATATATTTTTTCGGTAGATAGAGAGATCGGTAGAGTATCACAGCTTAGCCTTTGGACAAGATACAATAGTCAGTTGAGTTCATAACAACGATACGCGAATCTATATAAAAGCAATTGTTGTACAAAGTGGAAACGTCTTTCCAGCGTGCTGGAGAAGGAGCTGCTGTGGTGGCGCGAGCAGGCCCGCTCGGCGTCGCTGACGTCACGCGCGCACTCGCCGCACACGCCGCACGCGCACAACCCGCTCGACCGACAGGCACGTGCTACTGTTTTATTCACCGGCTCTGTTTGGGCAAAGGAACTTACGGTCGAGCCAACCTTGTGCCTTTGAAGCCTCTTGTTACAGTCAGCAAAAATAAGGAGGAGCCCGCAATTAAATTACCTTTTTTCCAAATACTTTGCCCTTGCTAGTGGTAGGACCTCTTGTGAGTCCGCACGGGTAGGTTTCACCACCCTGCCTATTTCTGCCGTGAAGAAGTAATGCGTTTCGGTTTAAAGGGTGAGGCAGCCATTGTAACTATACTTGAGACCTTAGAACTTATATCTTAAGGTGGGTGGGGCATTTACGTTGTAGATGTCTATGAGCTCCAGTAACCACTTAACACCAGGTGAGCTCGTCTACCCATCTAAGCAATAAAAAAAAATTAAAAAAAAATGTAATCAAATTATAGACCTGCAGCAAAAGCTGATGTTAATTAAATAAAAATTTACTTGTAGGCAGACAAGTATACGGCCTACTTGATAGTAAATAGTCACCATTAATCATGGACACAGCCAAGCAAATCTATCTACAAATCACAGTAAATGTAATCATAATTATGCAATCACACTGTTACGCTGCAGATGTCTATGAGCTCCAGTAACCACTTAACAAACAGGTGGGCTATGAGCTCGTCCACTCATCTAAACAATAAAAAAAATTAGCATAAACTTTTGTATTATTCTTAAATCAATCGCTCGCCCATTTACGTAACAAAACTCAGCATCTTTTAATTTCATAAGTTTATATTTCGAACATTACTTTCACAGATGCAAATATCTCAAGTGCAAAACATGATCTCATCGGGTGACGTGAACGGCGCCTTCCAGCTGGCCTTGTCCGCCTCGGACCTGTCCCTCGTGGTCACAGCCTGCAGGTCGGCCGAGCCTTCACTGGTGTTCGGGCCCCCCTGTCAGCTCAAGCAGCACGTACTGCTATCATTAGTTCAGCAACTGGCCGCCGATATGTCCAAGGACACGCAGCTCAAGCACAGGTGAGATAAACCGAAACCAACTTTATTAGAGTGATGCACGTAATTATAGGTGACTGATGTTTGAACGGTGTGTGAACATCAACATATGAGATAAGAAAGCAAAATCGAAACAAGGGTGGGCTCACCTGTCTCACCCATAAATAAAAATGATAAGAGACATACCATATTGTTAAGAGTATTTCAAACTATGAAACTACTAATGAATTTATGCTTGTTTAGGTATCTAGAGGAAGCAGTAATGAACCTGGATACGTCTAGTCCTGTGACCCGTGAGCACCTGCCAGGAGTCGTAGCTGAACTGCAGCAGCAAGTGTCGGCCTTCGTGACCGCCTCGCCCTCGCACCCGCTGGCTCGCAGACTGCGCATGTTGCTGCTGGCCTCTGATGCTCTGCTCAAGGCCACGGTGTGAACCGCATGCTGTTCTTCCATCAGCAACAACTCGACTCAGTGATACAGTTGTAGTGATGTGTGAACACGTGATGTGGGGTTACCCAAGTGCGGGGAGTGCTGAACATTTGTGATAGTTAAGTGTTTAAAGCTTGTGGAAAGTTTGCTGAAATTAGCGTAAGTTGTAATGTGCTAGTTGGATTTACAATTTTTATATAAAAGATTTTCCCGAGGACCCGCTAAAACTCCTTCTTGAGGTCTCCTCTTATTGCGCTGTAAAGGTCTATTCATAATTTTTAGGACTTATTTTATGGTGAACTCCAAATCATTCAGAAACAATATTCGAGAAAACTGTTTTATTTTCATGTAAATGTCTAAATCAATCTTAAACTTTTGTATCCAATGTTTATCTTACATAGTAAATTAAATTGCTCACACACACATCTCACAACTCCCTTCAAACATTTTAATTGCGAAATTTATAATTGCAGTCCAAACTAAAAGTGAAAGTAATTAAATAAAGGTTCTACTAGTTGATACGCTATGTTTGCCGACATACAATATGGAATCCTCATGAGCCTAATTCTGGTATAAATTAGAATACGTTCTGAAGAATTTTCAGCAATCGAGACAGTTGCTTATCAAGCGGTGAATGGCGGAATAAGTGTTTTTCTAACTATAACATTTAGTTACAGCTTAATGTCGAGGTTGTGAGATTCAACTCTCATCTGTTTTAAAACAAACTCTAAATATATATATTATGAGTACAAGTACATTATTGACCAAAATCTGAATCACACTATTGGAATTTCCAAGATAAGCTTCTGAAAATATAAATTCCGAACAATAGCATTCTGACCATCAGTCTACCTACTGAGTAAATGATACGCTCTCGGATTTCCCCCTTGTATACTGACTAACACAGTATTTCAATTTACTAATTCTACTTTATTAGTACATTTTGATGGAGACTAATAAAATCATACCGGGCAACTACCCATAAAGTAATCTTCCATTTTGAAATATACATCTCTTTCATTTTTATCATGTGTTCATTACCTTTATATATTAATGACATTCCTCATATTATTGTTTTGCTTTTCGAAGATTCTATAAATAATTTCGTATATTTTATAAAAAATATAAAATGTGCATTATATTATATTCTTTGTCACGTTCAATTGGTAATCAGGTTTAAAAAAATTAGCTTATCACCGCTTCTGATATTGATTGGTGCAACTTTCATTTTAACTAACACAAGGAGTTTACATTGATCCTCTTGATAATCGTACCATAATTATTGAATTCTGTCAAAATCTCATAAAATATTTATGGTACACGAAAAGGTTACCCTTATATTCATCATCAATCTTTTTTAATCTCTGTCATCGGTCTTAGTTCCCGTTCTCATGGTAATTATGAAGAAAAAAAATTATAAATGAATAGTTATTATAAATACTCCTATAGTGTTGGAACTGAGTTAATGTTACTGTAATGTTTATACGAGTATACACATATTATGTCATAATTATAATTTTTGTTGATTAATTAATGTTGTTGTGTTTTAAATTAAGTTTCTTTTAATTTAAAAGTAAATTGAGGCCCAAAACCTTTAAAGTATAACGTACATGTTCGTAAAAGTTGAAATGCAAACTGTAAGAAGAACAATTCTCTATTTGTAACTGATTGAACGTACGAAATACGAAAGTTAAGACATAAAGAAAGATTTTATTTTATTTTATAACCAAATCATCAGTTCCTGGAAGTTTCGTTAGCAACTTATCTTGTGTTGCCAGAATAACTTTAAACTTGTAACCTAAAAACAAAAATATGTTCTGTTTTTCATATATATATTACATTAATAATAGTGATTGTTAAAAGAAAAATGAATGATAGATATGTTTTGTAATGTAAGTTAAGAAGACACATTGATGCTGTACGGTGACTACATATTATATTATCTTTAAAATAATATAAAACTAAAATTAATAGAATGACTAAATATTAAAGGTCAAATAAATTCAATTAGGAAAAAGCAGTTGATTCTACTCTTTAAAGATTAAAAAGTGATGGTGGCATTTGATGTAATATGATAAAAATAGCAAACTGAGAAATGTAAAATGGAATTAAATGTACAATTTCGCGAATTCCTACTATTCGATATTTAATGTTTAGTAACATATTTAATCTATATTATCAGAATATATAAAAAATAAATAGCAAACTACGCATATTTTTGTAATAAGAAAATTGTATAGCCCTTGTTGCCTCTGGTAGTGTAAAATAATTATTTACTGAAGTCTTAAATTTAAGTCGTTTCATATAGAAAGCAGCATTACATCTCAGAATACATCACATGCCTCCCACATTTAAAAAAAACCATTGTCTTTTATTTATGATTGTAAGTGATTTGTTAATGATTGTAGTGAAGCCCACATGCCACTCACATATCATATTTTTGTATCTCATTTATAACTAGTGTTAGGATATTTTCATAGACATTAGAAATCATATGTGGTTCATATTAAAAAAAACTGCTTTGCTCTCGTATTTATTTATATATGAAAAAAATAACAAAATAACTAAGATACCATGAAAACTATTTTTGAAATGACCGTCTATGTCGTAACCTTAACTAATAACGTTATGAAATGATATTCGGTACAGAGTTTTCACATGTTTTTAAATTACAAATAATTAGAAAATTATAAATTTGGAATATTTCATTCTAGTTTTTAGTTTCATTTGTAAAGCCTGTGAAAATTTAAAAGATTTTTTAATATTATGTTTTCTAAACTTAAATAGAAATGAAATTCTTTGAGTACCAATGAAAGGATTAATTCACATCTCGCTGGGTTTTCAAGATATGAACAAGCAAGAATAGATTGGTTGCAATTGGCTAAAGTTATTACTTGAAATTTGCCGTTCGTGAACATTAGCCGAGTATCAAATCTTAACTGCTCGACTTAGACAATAAGGTTGCTTTTTCTTTAGTGTTTTGCCTACAGTATTTATATAAAACCGCCTAAAGGTTATGTTTTTCTAGTTCATCACTTGTAGAACAATACTTATTGAACTTGTTTTAGTTTAGTTTGTAGAAAAACAACTAAAACAAGCTTAGTTTGATATCTCCTGGTCGTAATTGTGATTTCAGCAATAAAATTATTTTTTCAATTAATAAATATGAATACTTAAACGAATTCACTGCTGTTTTATTTTCTGTTCTGTTCTATTCTTAAATATTTAGTTCCGAGTCAATTAAAAGGTTGCATTATAATGTTAGGGCGTCAGTTTTTGGCCGGTAGAACAGCTCAAAGGTTAGACTACAACTACATTGGGACAGAGGAAATAAGTGGTGGATAAATTCCGCCACAGCCAGTCTGAGTAACTTTTCTAAGAATTGCGGAATCGCCTGTTGTAGTGAGCTAAGCGACACGACGAAATCTACGATGAATGTGGTTATCTGTGCTTTGACTATTGATAGCGTTAGAGCTAGAATCGTGCATCGGATGAATCCATTCGCACGTGTCTAAGACGTCGTCCGTGATATGCTGTGATCACTCGCATCAAGTGGGTCATAGTGTTTTATCCATTTCTACCATACCCGATTAAGGTCGAGATTGTTGAGACTAACAGTAGGCCATAAAATGAACGGGCTGCATTCATACATTCATGACCACTTGTGAATAACTTAAACATCGTCATGTCTATTACAACGCTAATTACGTTTCACAGACTGCGAATCTATACTTTGATACGCTGTAATTTCACGCTATTGTAACAAAGAAGCCATTTTAAGTCATTTATTTCAAACAATAGTGGTGAATACTTTTTTTTTATGTTTGAAGGATTATTGGTGGCCCGGAGGCTTTTCCAATTTCACCATGACAGTAGGGCGAGCAAAGGCTCAGCCCGGAGGGGTGGGATTTGCTAACAGCTGCCCGAGCGCCTCCGAAGGAGACCTAACAATTCAGGAACAGCTTCGCGAATGAATCTACTACCGGATCGGAATCGCGACCCGCTGAGAAGATCCGGCGCGAAAGTCAGTGGGCTAATACATGGGTTAGGTTGCACGTCGAACTCTTTATCGAGTTCGACGAGCACGGTTACCAGGGTCCCTAAGCCTGCTTCTAGTGCGTCTAATGCAAAGGTTATTGGATCTGATGGATCCGTAAAGACGTGTATAGGGCGTCGACGGTGACTGGCTCCTGTGTGATCAGGATTCGGGGAGTAATCAGCGGCGGCAACGATAGCGCGATTATCATGTCGCATAGCCTTAGGTACCGAAGGACCGTTCCGACACTGACTTCATGGTGTTTCCGGATTTATTCGAGGCCCAGGTTGTCGTGTAAGTCAACGTTCCTCACGAACCACGGAACTCTGACGGCTAATCTGCAGAAACGGGATTGTAGGGATTGGAGGGTGTCTATGTGTGGGCGGGCCGCGTGAGCGAACACCACACTCGCGTAAGTCATGACGGGCTTAGACAAGTTTTGTAAGTGTCACCTTGTTCCAAAGGGACATTTTACTCCACTTACAGATCACGGGGTACATCAATTATGTGTGCATACGAAATACTCTTACATCTTGTCAATTCAGATTAGGTCTTATAAGTAAGAAATATATAAAAATTAGTAGGTGGCATGGTGAGGATTTGCGGACTATTTTATTTAAATTACATTCTCAATCTGAAGAAATCGATTCAAGATATAGTTAGATTAAGCATCTTTTTTTTTTTTTTTTTTTTTTTTAATCCGTACCTCTAGCAAACAACAAAGCCAGAGATTCATGTTTACATTTTTTATTTTGTTTTAATTTTAATTATAGTTTATACTCCTGCCCATAAGGGGCTTAAAAACTAGGTCACGCATTCATTCCGAGCCTCTTTATCATACCAGTTCTCGCATTTATTCCTCTCGTACTTTCATTCATTCCATTCATACTTTGCATTCCTAGCTGCGGTTACTAAAAGGAGGGGAGGGGAGTAGGGCTGTTGGGACTCTTTATTTCTATAANCCCATCTGAAGGGCCAACAGTTTCTGCTTACGTTTGGGATTTCTTTGAATTCGCGCCTTCACAGCTTTTATCACTGCTGGAGTCCTAACAGACCGAGGGCGACCACTTCTTGACCTGTCATCTACACTAGAGTCTTCATTGTATCGTTTGATGGTACGATAAACGAATCTTTTGGCTATATTCAAATTTTTCAGTATGTTAAAAAATTTAATTGGCGCGTAACCGCAACGATGCAACGCAATAACTGCAACACGGTCTTCTTTAAGCGTCCACTCCATATTTAAAAATGATTAAAATTCTAAAAGTATACATTTTTATTTTCATGAACAATTCGAAATTCTAATTCAATAAACTTTTTTGTGGCCAGCATTCGAAAAGAAAAGTTTTTACTGTGTGACAATACTTATGACCTGACTAGTTATATAACCAGCCTTAAGTTCTGTTACAAATGAAAATACAATACATTTTTTTAATGAAGTTATAATATTATTATGGTTAGAAGTTAGAATATTATTAGAATTTATGCCTACATATTTATTAAATTCTCAGCAAAAAATAAAAAAATATTCTATTCAAAATGGCCACCATTGAAAGATTTTTTAAGACTCAATGTCACCGTGTCGTTTAGAGCAGGCCATGTCTTCTTCGGTAGTCGTTCTGCGGGGCAAGTGCTTCGCACGCCTTTTTCAAGGCGTAGTCTCCTGTGAGAAATTGGGGGAGGTGAAGGACCTCGGCCCTTCTCTTCTCCCCTTCTTCCTTTCAGGAATCGCCGGAGTCCGACATAACACGGTCCGTTACCCCCCTCGGCCGGGTATCCGTAAATAGATTCCCCAGCGTTAAAAAAAAAAAGGCCTTTTCCTCTAAAACTCACCATAATTTGAAGTCTAAAGGGTTGAGGTCTGAGCTAGATGAGGGCCAGTCTTCAGCTCTTATAAAGTCCGGAACTTTGATTTCAACCCAGGTTTGGGTAGTTCGTGCCTTGTAACCAAGTGCAGAGTCGTGCTGGAAATTTCACAGTATATTTTTAAAAAATGTGTTGCTGAGAGATTTCACAACATGATCGAAAACACACTTGATACACTTTGTCTGAAGTTTTCACTCCTTTTTCACAAAAATGTAATTTTGTGACTCCTTGATAATACACGCCCCACCCAAACATCACTGACTGATGATCACGCTGTACCTTTCCGACCACCTGAGCAGCTTTTTTAGAACTGTGAGCGTACACTTTATAATTTTGCTTATTGTAATGTTCTTCAATCGTGAATTATTTTTCATCGGTAAAGAGGATATTTCTGTGCCCTTCACCTGCGTATCGCGACAGAAGGCGTTTTGATCGATCCACTCTCTTTAATTGTAAAGATTGATTTAGAGCATGTCCTGTATATCGACGATAAGCACCGAGCTTCAAGTCTTGTTTTACAATACGCGATAGAGTCCTAACGGGAATCTTTATTTCTTGCGATATTTTTTTTTGATTCCTAATTGGGCTTCGACGAGTTTGGCTGGCTTTTAATGCATTAACAGTCTTTGTAGTTCTAGTAGCACGCGGCCACCCCGATCTTTTCTGATCTTCGACAGACGAAGTGTTGTTGTATTTGTTGATAGTACAATATACGAACATACGGCTGATACCAAGCTTTTGAAGTGTCTGGAATATGACCGACGGCTCCATACCCACTTTGTGCAAAATTAAATAAAAATAATACACGTCTTCCAAATTCAAAATAATTAAAAAGTTGAAAAAAAAGAAAGGTTTTTATGGAACCGTATTTATGGCCATACTAGTTAAATTAATATTATTTCATTTATTGACTGCACGTTACTAGAAACAGGTCCAGACTGAGCATGGACTAAAACATCACATCTTATAATCTTGTTTTGCTTTAAATAGTTTCTATATAAAACGAACGAAAAGAAATAAATAAATTACATTATAATGTCACTTTGTACGTCATGTTTTCAATATATTCCGGATTTTTATAATTCAAATTGAGAATTACAGATAGTATTTGGTTGGTAAATAGAATTCTAAAAACTAAATGCTTTAAAAAATGATCTTTGCAGTTTGTGGAGAAATTTAAACTAGTGGCCTGGCCTAAATGAATTATTAATAAAATAAACGAATGTAACCTATCTTAAGGTGAATCTCGAAATTTTAAAATGGACTCGAAGTCCAAACTCTGTTACTTAACGTATTAAAAGCCGTTACACCCTTAAAATCGAAACGAATGAGTGCTTAGTGTGCGAGCTCACAGCACATATCATCACTAAGACATAATTGGCGATCGCATTTTGTTTGCATAAAATCAGAGAAACATTGACACTTGATTTCCGATGCAACCCTTAAAAGAAACGAATACCTACCTCTGTGTCCACTTAGGACAAAATGCGGACCAGCTTTTTTTTGGGAATTAAGTATTACTTACTGTTACCCGTAGGCCTTTCCAGTTTCACCAGGACAGGGTTAAGCCAGGAGGCAGTTACTCTGCGGAAGAATTTGGATTCCCGCGGCCCTGCGCGCACGTGTGGGTGGACACCGGGGTGGTTTTAGCCGGTAGGGGTCCGGCACGCCCCTCCACCTTTCCCCAGGCGGAGGTGGTCCATGAGGTTTTCCACCCGAAAAAAAAAAAAAAAGGAGGCAGTTACTATTCTAGTCCAACTCGAATATACATATTTATGCAAAGCAGATAAACCGCACGGCTAATACGAACATACACATTTAATCTATTTATAGCTACAAATTCTTATTTTGACGTCATTTCTGAGCCATAGTTATAAGCTCTAAGGAAGTTTGTATTTAATTGAATTATTCAAGATCATAATTAAGAAAACAGTTGTATATTTTCGCATAGTTGTTTAGTGGATAATAAAGATAACGCTAACAAAAACATTTATTTAAAAAATATTAATTAGATAGATTAAGCCAAAAACATGTTACAAATAACATATATACGCGTAGGCTACTTAAATTTATTTTAATTTAACCATGAATGGCAACAATTGTTTTATCCTAACGAAAATAAATAAGAGCAACATGTTTTAATGTTTTAAAAGCATGTCAATTAGACATAAAAGTTCCGTCAGTCCTCGCTTGAGATAAGTTTATCGTAATTGAATAAAACTGTAACAAAAACGTTCCGGATATTTCATTTGTGTTTTCGTGGGGTTGATGTCGATGCGCCTCTTCCGGAACCACTGTCTTATGGCGGTTGGTCTGGGGTCGCCGATTCAATAAAAACTGCTAGGTGGGCCTCTGGTGATCGCGGTATATTTTTGGTGTTAACTATCAAATAACAATACGGAATGGGGTGTTAAAGAAAATAGGATTGCAGTAATCGCCTTGCACAAAGTGGGTATGGAGCTGTCGGTCATATTCCAGACACTTCAAAAGCTTGGTATCAACCGTATGTTCGTATATCGTACTATCAACAGATACAACAACACTTCGTCTGTCGAAGAACAGAAATAATCGAGGCGGCCGCGTGCTGTTAGAACTATAAAAGCTGTTAATGCTGTTATAGACAGATTTCGTCGAAATCCCATTAGGAAGCAAAAAATCTTATCGCGAATAACGAAGGTTCCCGTTAGGACTCTGCCGCGTATTATAAAACAAGACCTGAAGCTCGGTGCTTATCGTCGATATACAGGACATGCTCTAAATCAATCTTAACAATTAAAGGGAGTGGATCGATCAAAACGCCTTCTGTCGCGATATGCAGGTGAAAGGCACAGAAATATCCTCTTTACCGATGAAAAAAATTTCACGATTGAACATTATAATAAGCAAAATGATAAAGTGTATGCTCACAGTTCTACAGAAGCTGCTCACGTGGTCTGAAAGGTACAACGTGCTCATCATCCTGCGTCAGTGATGGTTTGGTGGGGCGTGTATTATCAAGGAGTCACAAAACTACATTTTTGTAAAAATTGAGTGAAAACTTCAGTCAAAGTGTATCAAGATACAGTCTTGGATCATGTTATGAAATCTCTCTACAATACACTTTTTAAAAATACACCGTGGACTTTCCAGCGGGACTCTGGATCTGGTCACAAGAACTACCCAAGCCTGGCTTGAAACCAACGTGCCGGACTTTATAAGAGCTAAATGCTGGCCCTCATCTAGCCCAAGCCTCAACCCTTTAAACTTCAAATTATGGTGCGCTTTAGAGGGCATGGCCTGCTCTAAACGATACGACGACATTGAGTGTCTTAAAAAATCTTTGCTTGTTCCAAAGATTTTTTGGAAAATGGCGTTTTTGGAAAGTTGCGAAATTTCCCTTGGAAACAGTGCGTAAATCCATAGATTCGTGGCCAAACAGATTAAAGGCCTATATAAAAGCCAAACGTGGCTATTTCGTATAGAATATTTTTTTATTTTTTGCTGGGACTTTAATAAATATGTTGGTATACATTTTAATAATATTACATTACTTCATTTAGAAAAAAATGCATATTCATTTGTAATAGACCTTATGGCTGAACTAGGTATAGCAATATGTAGTTTAGTTCGGAGTCGGTGAGTTGAGTACTGGTGGCGTATTGTTCTTGCAACGCATCGGTCAGTAACTCTGCCTTTTCGTCGTCATTGTAAGCTGGAGATTGGCCTGAATGACGTACCAGAGCTCACACAGTGGCGATAGTTTCGAATTTGAGGGTCTTAGCTAGTTGCCAGTAGGTACGCAACACGACCCGCCACCATTTTCTGAACTATTAACCAAAGATTTTCTTTCATTAAATCTGCTTGCTCATTGTACAACATAAAGTTCCTCATAACAACAATGGTTTATAAAGTAGAATTAAAATGGATCAAACCTTGACACAAAGGCTATAATGACTAATTATTTACCCAAACGTGTTTTCTCCAAAATCTACCTAAAGTAATTAGCATCATTAAAACGAAAGAAGTCAAATCAACTTGATTACTTTTGGGCTACGAAAAAAGGCAGAAAGATTTACTAAAAGTAAAAAAAGATGCAATCAATGCAATAGGAACTTCATCGGTGCATTATACTGTCGTTGCCAACGAAATGACATTGTAAAACCAGAAATTTTAATTAAGAAACAAATACATAATTACGTTTGTTGTTTTTTAGTGCACAAATCCACAGATAATCCATACTTAGTATTTGAAACATAAGTCGTCAATAACACGTAAGTTAACAACTTGTCCGGCGTCATGGATGTGATTAGCTTTGCCGGCTATATAAGACGACTCGTAATTCCATTAAACATTAGATTCAGTGAAGCTACGGTGAGTAAGTCACGCTCTCAGAGCTATACTGCTATTTATTCACAATAAGCTTATCAAACTCATAACTAAACGCCAATTAATTATTACATTGCTGATTGTTATTTGAAAATCGCATTTATTTTATCTGGCCTCGTATCTTTGAATATATAATTTAGACAAAATATTTGCTAGATATCCTTTACAAATTTTCTAAAACGCATAATTTCGATAACCAATTATGCAAAGTCTGTATTCAAATATGCCAGTATAGAATAAAAATGAATGCTTTTTAATTTATAAAATTCGTAATCATATATATACAAATATATTCGTTTTATTTACAACGATCTTAGAAAACTTATATTTTCGATCATTTAACATTGTCATGTCCAACAATAATATGTATGAAACTGTAACAAAAGCCCAATTTTCTTAATCAAATACGAAAAAGTGTTTTTGGGTTCAGTTTCAGCAGTGCGAATCAGTGTGTAAATACCATATGTTCATCTTTCTTAGGGCAATCCTGAACATAAGCTTTAACATAATTGTTTTTAAAAGTAGGAACACACTAATAAGTATGGCAGCACAGTTAGTTGCAATTCCACAAAAATTCTGGTCGTACGGGTACGTGTTGTACATCAAGAAATAAAAATCCTTCGCTCTGAATCTAGTTTTTATTGGAGCTAGCACACACAAAACAGTTCACGTTCTAAACAGATTTTGCTTCCTTGTAAGACCTAAAGTGTATTTTTTTTTTATATTTTTGATACATAATAATAGTGTATTTTAATAAAACGTCAAAATAAATTGGAAATAAGGATCCTACGGATCGATCATAAGGGAAATAAGGAGCATAGGATCATTCTCGAAACTGAAACGAAAAAAAACAAAGTTAGACAGAACAAAAAATATAAATTAATTTAAAAATTAAACTTAAATATTCATATTCTGTGAACTCATATTATGTTCTCTCGAGATCGTAAATTCCGCTCAGTGCCTAGTTTTTATATTAGATAAATAGAATCGCCTACACCGAAACAATAACAGTTTATATGCGATTTTTTTTAAGTAATACTCAATTTGATTAAAATGTTTAGTACTTTTACTTTTTACTAAAATATTTGGTAGTCGCTTTTAAACAGTTTCGTGTGTAGTCTAGTATCTGATGTCACTGACCCGCAAAATTGTTTTTTAAAATTGGTCGCATTGATTTCTAGTCAATGTTGACCTTTGCTTTAGTAATGTTTAATTTGGATATAAAGGACATCTGACCATATGTCTGTTAAATCAAGAATTATCGTCATATCCTCCATATTGTTCTGATTAAAGGCTAGATGTTTAGATAAGATTCAAATTTAAATAACCATAGCGTGTAAACTGGCCCGCTCCCTCCAATCCCAGTGTAGAAATTTGCATATGTGTCTGTGTCCGAAGCATAGATCATGTCATAGACCATACACTAATATAAACTAGATCAGAAAAGCTGAGTGGAGCGGACAATTAGCCGCTACTAACTATTTATTTAATATATACTAGCTGACCCGGCGGACTTCATTGTGCCTCAATCGGTAAATAAAAGACCTAAAGTTTTGTGTAAAATAAACTTAAAACAAACAAAAGGAATCCGTCCGACGGGGGACACATCAAAGGGAAAACAAAATAGCTATTTTTATTTATATTCCGAGCATTTTCATATTTTTTCACCTTTTAAACCTTCGCTGGACTTACACGAATAATTCAAGACCAAAATTAGCCAAATCGGTCCATTCGTTCTCGAGTTTTAGTGAGAACAGCAATTCATTTTTATATATCTACGCTTCAAAGGCAAACGTGACTATGCGACAATAACTGTTTTATACATAAATGATAGGCAATGACCATATTCGATGCGCAAAAAAAATATATTTCTAGGTCTATTAAAATCATTTCAATCCTACAGCTAGATTCGTTAAAATATTATATTATAGAATTTTTTTCAGCTATTTCAACTTTAAATTAGTCCACTGTAAAGTTCACGCATTGTCGCTTAGTCACGTTTGCCTTTCAAGCGTCGATATATATAGTTAGAATAGATTTCACAATAATAATTATACATTTTGCAACAGCTAAAAGAAATGAAGTTCGTCCTCGCTCTCATCGCTCTGGCTGTAGTGGTGGCCGCCCGGCCAAATGACGATCTATTCTATGACAAGAAATACGACAACTTCAACGTTGACGAGATTATTGACAACCCAAGACTGCTTAAAGCGTACACATTCTGTTTTAATGACAAGGGAAAGTGCACAGCTGAAGGAAACGACTTCAAGAGTAAGTTTTTTTTTATATTTTTTTTATTGCTTAGATGGGTGGACGAGCTCGCAGCACACCTGGTGTTAAATGGTTACTGGAGCCCATAGACATCTGCAACGTAAATGCGCCACTCACCTTGAGATATAAGTTCTAAGGTCTCAAGTATAGTTACAAAGCAAGTAAGTACTATCAAAGTCAAACTTTTGTCATTGGCATAGCTATAGCATAGATGGCTTTCTTATTTTTTTCGTTTTTTTATTCGTTACCCGTTCTTCGTTTGAGACCGACTTTTTCTTATGTTTTTGGTTTGCCCGTCGATAAACAAGTTTTGCTTGTGTTATTCCAAACGATGTTGTTGAATGGCACAATTATTTCTTACTCGGTTTGCGTAGAATGCCTTCGCTCCGTAGGATCTATTCTTTCACAGAAATTATAACTCACTTTAGGATGACGTAGGATTAACGGCCGTCTGGTGTAGTGGTAAGTGACATGGGCACTACATAAGGGGGTCGCGGGTTCGAATCCCGCCAAGGGAAGATATTTGTATGATAAATATAAATGTCTTTTCCAGGGTTATGGATGTATATTCAATATATATATGTGTATAATAAAAATCTTACATTTATTTCCGTTATCTGGTACCTGTAACACAAGTACTTTACGAACTTATCACGGGACCAGTTAACGTGGCGTGATTGTTAGTAAATATTAATTAATTTATTTATTAATTACTGTTAACTTTTTTAAAAGGTGCAGAAAAATTTATTTGACTCAGAATACTGTAAATGCTGTAATAATTTGAGTAAACTGATTCTTTGCAAAAAATTGATATTCCGCTCTATATTGTTTTGTGATACCTTTTACTACTTGCTTTATTAATAAAGGGACCGTCAAGAGCTATTTAAAAGAACATTTTTGCATATAAATATAAACTTCATAAATATTGAATCAAAATAGATTTCATATGAAATAAAATAAATAGAGAGAGCTAATAAATTAAGTAACTGATTTCTTTTGTAAATTTCAATATATAAAAAAGACATCTATTTTGTACCAACGAATGTATCCCAAACTGTATTCGTTATTTCTAAATAGGTATATAAGTCGTCGTGGCCTAACAAATAAGACGTCCGGTGCATTCGTGTTGAGCGATGCACCGGTGTTCGAATCCCGCAGGCGGGTACCAATTTTTCTACTGAAATACGTACTCAACAAATGTTCACGATTGACTTCCACGGTGAAGGAATGTCATCGTGTAATAAAAATGAAACCCGCAAAAATTATAATTTGCGTAATTACTGGTGGTGGGACCTCTTGTGAGTCCGCGCGGGTGGGTACCACCACCCTGCCTATTTCTGTCGTGAAGCAATAATGCGTTTCGGTTTGAAGGGTGGGGCAGCCGTTGTAACTTACTTGAGACCTTAGAACTTATATCTCAAGGTGGGTGGCGCATTTACGGTGTGGATGTCTATGGGCTCCAGTAACCACTTAACACCAAGTGGGCTGTGAGATCGTCCACCCATCTAAGCAATAAATAAAAAAAAATTAAATCCAACTCACCTTTTTACTAAATTAATTTATACTAAAGACGAGCAAAAAAATTTTAAATTAGAGATCATTAAACTATACAAAATATAATAATTAAAAACATAAATTAGAATAATTTAAGAACATCAACAATGAAAAAAAAACAATTAATTGAGGAAGAATAAGCTGCTCGATAAGAATTTTGATTAAAATAAAAATATATGTAGGCAACTAATGTTTAGCGTCCACACAAATATATAATTTGGGGGTCCACACCACTTACAGATATTCTGCTTAAGATGAACTCATTTTGTCATACACATTCAAATAACATATTCTGTATGTATAGTTATATGCATAAACAGACAAAGACAAAATAGTTATGTAAATGAATAGCTTATTATACTATTAGTATACTGCAGTTAGTATACTGTAATATAATAACTGTTTTCCTCTGTTTGTCAAGAGATTTTTGTTTTTGTTTCTCGTCTTGAAACTTCTAACAAGATTTAGCTATTTCATTTTTTTGTTAATAGTTTCACGAAACAGAATATGTTACAAAAAAAGTGGGAACCTTGACAATATAATACTATGTATAATCTAATTATGGTCGAATATCGAAAAATAGGCGAATGCAGATATTAAAAAATCGGCTACTACTACTACTGGTGGTAAGTCGTCTTGTCAGTCCGCACGGGTAGGTACCACCACCCTACCTATTTTCGGTTAGGGTACTTAGGGTAGGCGGGCAGCCTTTGTACCGTAAAAACTGTGAGACCTTAGAACTCATGTCTTGAGGTAGGCGGCGGCATCTACGTTGGAGACGTATGTATATGGGCTCCGGTAACCATCACTTAACATCAGGTGGGCCGTGAGCTCGTCTACCCATCTAAGCAATGAACACTAACTCAATCTAGTATTTGATTATAAGTCCACATCTTCGAAAACCTATGAAAAAACAGGTAAATTGTTATCGGTGACTGTTAATTATAAACTATTTTTAATAACCCTAATGGTCTTACAATTAAGCATATTTCACGAATCAAACACACAACAATATAAATTTTAATTAACTGTTGGCAATCGAAATCCGTTCATTAATCAAATATCGTTTGCATAATTAAAAAAAATTTAAACATACCAGTAATTAAGAAATTGCTTTTGAAAATTCTAATCAAATAACACTGAAATATCTGAAATTAATTATTATATATCCGCCAAAACTTCTAACACACATATATACATATATGCTCTGTATTGTAATAAATTCCTCATTTCACGATTGACTCACTTCTTATCCATGAATATTATTAAACGATTTTTGCAGTAGTAAGCACTGTAGTAAAATGAATTTTGATTTTCTTTTTTTTTTATATAGAATGGATCCCAGAAAGCTTGCAGACATCGTGCGGAAAGTGCTCTGAAAAGCAGAAGTATCTAGTGGCCAAGTTCGTCCACGCCATCAAGGATAAGATGCCTGACGAATTCGATATCCTGCGCAAACTGCACGATCCCAAAGGGGAATACACCGAGAACCTTGATAAATTCCTCGAAACTTACGGACATTAAATTATGATTTAACTCATTCGCATCATGATACTGTTACCTGTGACTTCATAAATAAATGTCATTACAGTTTTTGTAAAATCGTTTTTTTTTTATTCCCGAGCTACCACGAAACTGAATCATACAATGTGTAAAACACCAATAGAATTTTGTTTGTGGAAAGGAAAATAGCGTGCTTGTTTTTCCACTTAATGGGTTTACTAGTAAGATATACACTTGGCGTTACCTGAGTACATAGATTTCACAGCGTGTGTGCCATCCACCTTGAGACATGAGGTTCAACGAATAGTATTGCATAATAACTGTCCCACCATTAAAAAAGGAACGTATAATTAACTGTAGGCTAAAACTAAACTGAGCTATGGTAAATTCCCGTGCAAGCTATAAGCTAAGCTCACAGCCCACCTGGTATTAAGTGGTTACTGGAGCCCATAGACATCTACAACGTCAATGCGCCACTCACCTTGAGATATAAGTTCTAAGGTCTCAGTATCGTGGTTTTTTTTTTGCGTGAGCGGGAGGAAATTCTCATGGATACCCAAGGGCCCGGGCCAAAGGTCATGCCCCACTCCACTGAGAAAGTGTCTCAGTGACCTACGGACTAAAACCTCCCTCCTGGTTATCTGTCCCTTTTTATTATGGGACAACCTTTATCCCTGAGTTCGATACCCTGATAGACGAGGAACAGTACAATGCCCACAGCAATTTTGCTGTGCGAATCTTTACGGACGGCAGCAAGATTCCTAGTAGGAAGGTTTCCATGGTCAATAATACAACCGACTCGTGTCATAAAAGAGAGATAGACGGTGTAATAGAACGGCAACGCGAGCTTTATGGCTTTAGTTTCGGTGGTTCTATTCCACAAGGATAGCGCCGCTCCAATTTTACCCTATTTTATTTCAGAGGACCGTTGACCGTATTCTGACCACGGGCAAAGAGAACGTGTGTGAGAGTGCAAGGGAGTCTTTTGGTGAGGTAGGACTCTAAAAAAAACCTATAGTAAGTTCGCCATACGTTCCTTATCTCCTAGCTCCTCTAATCAATAGTGGATAAATCCTGCCGCCTCTTTCTGTTAAATTCTGCACTTGCAGAAGTCATACTTCCCCAGCCAGAGCTCTTGTATGTCAAGCATCATTTTAAAAGTCATTAGAAGGTCGGAACCTAATTGAACGAGCTTGTTACCTGCCACGTCTCGTAGCTGTCATGGTTGTAGAAGGTTGATATAAGCTCCCTTCAGGTGACCATGGTTACGGTTTGCCTCTATGCAACCAACGAATGAACGATCCAGGCTGAATTTTACGCGTCATCACACTATTAGGCACAGCTCGCCTTGATCGAAGAGATCGTACGAATCGACATTACTACACAGGTAAAAGTTTGAAGTATTTACAAAAAAAATAAACTTTGACAAACTCTCTGAACTGCTCCGATTTGCTAATAGGGCTCCGATAGGTGTTCCTATATACTCGCGTACCACGATTGGACGTAATATTGGACCACACTTGAAGCAAGAATGCGGACCATTATAATAAAATAGATATGTAAATAACGAATTTTCAACTAATACAAATTATGAAATCAAAGCCTTCAGAATTATTACTATAATGTATAATATGCACATTCTACATCTAATTAATAATACATGGAATTAAAAATATATATATTTACGTTTGTTTGTTGGTATTCTATGAGTTTTATGTTCATTCAGTTGACATGAAACTTAGTTTAGTTGATGTTGGCATTTTAGGAAGGTTTTAGCCATAGTACCATGAAAATGCGAGGCTTGGAGTGCGTGAATTTATAGCAAATTGGTGTTTTTTCACAAATTTAGTGATAGTCAAGGTAATGCATAGACAAAATAACTCCGATTTGCTTTAGATAACAGCTTGACTGACTGACTGGGCTTAAGTCCAGGGACCACTTAAAGTCAATGAGCGACGGTTAACACCACCATCAAGCATCAAGCAGCAATCACGTGGTCTGACATCGGTAGCAATAAAAAAAAATTCGTTTCATTACTGATCTTTTATATAGCTCCAACAATGTTAGCGCGTACAAACCCACAGACAAAATTCTGTAAAGATATACGACACACAATTATTTCGTTTATCACGTGCTCATTTCAGGAGCAGTGTTATTAACATTTCAGCGGTACGTTTACGAGATAAACTTATCAAACGATGTTGGTACACCGTCCGAAATTGTGGCAATTACCAATCGGCAACGTTCCGATAAATTCCCTGTGACACGACACTCAACTGTATCACTGACGGGATCGTATAAAATAAAATAAAAATGATTTTATTGTAAAAAAAAGTGCGGGGTGCATGGTATCAGTAGTTTTTTGATAATATCCTGAAAAGCACCCCACGCATTTTTACAATAAAATCATTTTTTCTTACACTATTTTTAATTCAAATTTATTACGATTTATTTTCTATTTTTAGTGGGATTTTCTATAAAAGCGTATTTTGTTAGTTTTTTTAAAATATTATTTATTTTTCATTTTTTAGTAAATTTCATTAGAATTGTCAGCGGGCCTTAATAAGTATACCAAATTTCGAGTTATACGTTTGAAGGGGTCAAAATCATGTTCAAAGATTCCGTTACAAACATACATACGTCTGAAGCTAATAAAAGCGTATTAATGAACGAAAGCTTCAGTGAAATAACACAAAAAGTTGTCATGAAGTTTTTCAGGAAACCGCTCTGACTTGTATACGTTTTTCCATTTATATATTACTTATTCGTCTTCCGATCTTAGATTTTACTTTCCGATTACTAGCAAACTTCACAGGATCACCGGTTAGTCTAATCTGAAGATCTCCTGAAAATGTCGTTGAAATCGGTTCAGCCGTTTCGGAGCCTAAGATACCCACATCGACTTTTATTTAAATAAATTTCCCAACGCTTCGCCACCTGCATCACCAAATAGAACGACAGCGAAGAAGGACAGGAATCAAGTAATAACAAAGATACAGAGAAAGTCACTCGCAATAAAGTTACTTTGGGAACTCTAAGTGAAAGGACTCCTTTGTGCGCGTTTATTTATTTCCCGGCAAATACTAAAGACAGTTAGTTGGCTAGCGTTTTGTAAATTGCATATAGAGCTCTTGTGTTGGTGAGGTAAGCCATATAGTTCTAGGCTATGATATCAGCGAGAGATTGAAGTTTAAGTTTGCTTAATAATTAAAATCTTTTTTTATAAGTTAGATTCCATGGAACAAGCATGTTAAATGCCTAAATAAACTCTTCTACCAGTTCCCAGGCCTGAGAAGAACCGGTATTACAAACTCAACTGACTTGAATTCCATTTCTTAAATCACCACATACATACACTAAGAAACTCAGATTTTTAATTGTATGGTGTTTTAGAATGGTATTTTATGATGTTTCGGTGGCGGCATTTACGCTGTAAATGTCTATGGGCTCCGATAACTAAATAACACCAGGTGGGGCGTGAGCTTGTTCACACATCTAAGCAAAAAAAATAAAAAATGTAGGCAATAAATATAAAATAAAAACCTAATATAAGTAAACCGTTAGCAACTTCATTTATTAATAGAGCGTGCGTGGCGCGTTATTATTCGACAAGGTGTAATTTCCATTTGGCTTTGAGCTTTTTAAGCTTGGAAAATCCATTTTAATTTTCTCGACTCCGGAGTCAAACACTGACTCAAAGTAAATCATGACTCAAAGTAATAATAGTGATCAAAGTAAATATGCAGTATATTTTGAAACAGCCGTAGAAGTAATTTTTTTTATAGGAAATACGTTCTCTTTCCTCAACAAATAATCAATAATCAAAAGGATTCCATAATTACTGAGTAACGGTGGCGATTTTGGCCGCACACTCTCATCTATTAAATACGATTGTGTTCATATTTACACCTTTTGCAGTGTCTGTAAAGTTAGCTTAGCAACGTTCCACTTATAGTAAAGATTTAATGATAGGAATCGTTAAAACATTAACCATAGTTGTCTATGGACTCTGATAGTCTTGCAAACTTACTTTATAGTGAGCTTCATAACCAATATATTGCTATAAAAACGATGGCAATAACAAATCTTAAAAAATTTCAAGAAACGATAAGGACCTTTGTATATTTTCATACCAAGGCTATATGAAAAAAATCGGCATTAGATTAGACTATCAATTTCCAATTATTTTTTTGTTTATTTCACCTTCACTCCACGAACTTTAATATGTATTGTTTTAATCAAGCAAATGGAACTCTCGCAGAGAAAAAGCGAGACACCAAGCGTAAAATAAATTTCATTTTCCACATACAAAACTCGATAAGAACGAAGCGCTCTAAAAATAACTTTAAGCTCCTGCGATGTTTTCAATAACAAACAAATTATATAGGATGAAAATCCCTTTACGTCTTGCTCCTTGAATCAAAACAAGGCCTACGTTTCCTACAATAGATATATTTACGTAATTTCCGAAACAGTGTTACGCTTAAACATTTTAATTAATACTCTCATTAAAATTTCAGAAACATTATCTATACTAATATTATAAAGAGGAAAGATTTGTTTGTTTGTTTGTTTCGAATAGGCTCCGAAACTACTGGACCGATTTGAAAAAATCTTTTTCCATTAGAAGCCGACGTTGTCCCTGATGAACATAGGCTACTTTTTTAATTTTTATTTTATTTTTGTTTTTTGGTTTCATGTGTGTTTTAATGTTTCCGAAGCGAAGCGAGGGCGGGTCGCTAGTGCTTAATAAAGAGCGACTCACGCCATGCGTATTTTTAATTTAATTACTAAAACCATTATAACGTAATTGAGATTATTCATAAAATAATTTTGTTTATATTAAATGAAACATATAACACTTGTTGCTTTATTCTACAGGTGCTGATTTATGATTTATTATTTATGATATATTGATTTTTTTATTTAGGATTCCCCAGCGTTAAAAAAATAAAAAAGGTGCTGATTTTTGAATACCTTAAAAACCTTAAAAAAACACACATTTATCGAGCATATAAACAAAAAAAATTTGGTCTATGCGCCTATCTTCTGATTAATTCGTTGCAATATCCAAACTAGCGCGTTCCCTTGGGTAATCT